CCCCAGCGTTGGATCAGGTCCCTGGGATTTGTGATCGTAACATCTAACAGCGAGCCAGCAGGACGGTACGTTGGATAGGAATCGTTACACATATGCAGATTGTAAGACCGTAACAGTTGCATCAATTTCTGATAGTAAGGCCTGTGCTCGAGCCAATCAGGCTGATGTTTAAATCACCGGCGATCACTATTGGGCAGTCATGTGTGGACATTATACCTTGTAACTGGTTCTCCAAATCATCGAGATCATCGGATAATATGTTTTGTTTCAGCGGGTCGAACAAGCGTCCAAATAATCTCAAGATTCGATGAACCAACGGCAGTGTGAGGCGTTTTCAGAACAGTTACATCAAACGAGTCTCGCCGCCAGAATTGCGACCCCTCCGTAACCCATAGGCAGTCCGCTGTCTGCAGGCCGGTCGTGTCGGTACAGCCGGTACCCATCAATGTTCAGCAGCCGGGCGGGGACAGACGGCCGCAGCCACGTCTCACTGAGTGCGAGAATATCAAACTGATGCATATCAGTTAGACTGTGACGTAGATCTGGCAGTTTGGGTTTCAAACTTTGTATGTTTAACTGCGCGACGCATAGTTCACCCGCCGGGCGCCCGCCACCTCGCCCCTCCCCTACAGCCCCGGCGCCGCGATCGCTTGCCCCGGCGCGCCGGGCGGCTGCCGCCCGAGTCAGGCCCACGGCCACCAGAGGACCGGCTCACGCTCACGCCCGCACCCAAGCCGACCAAGGCAACCCTGGGCTCGCCCCTGGCCGCCGCGGTGACCTGGCGCGGTCCGCACTCAACAGCTGACCCCGCATGGCCCGAGGGCACGCGCCGAGCCGGGAGCCAGGGATTTGGGGCCGGCCGGGCGGCCCGCACGATAACCTGGGCGACCGCCAAGGTCACCAATAGGCGGAGCAGCTGGCGATTCATTGCAGAACGCAGGCTTGCCGCTAGCTTGCTAGCTTGTCCGCTCCAGAACTGGAGCGGAGATGGCTGCAGTCGCGTTGTTTATAGGCTCAGGAGTCGCCGGTAGTCGTCACCTCGGGTCCGTCGCTGCACAGCCGGCAGGTAGGTGGTCCCGTCTCGGTAGTCACGGTAGTCACGGTAGTAGGTCACGATTCACGTGATCAGCGAAATGATCCTTCACCTTCTCACTCGCGCACAGGCACTCTCACTCCACACTGCCACTAAAACTGCGAAACATGGTAACCGATCAGACCTCGTTCCAAGTCACCCTCACTTCGTGTTGGCTGCTCTATTCAAATCTTCTACCTATTCCTCTGAAGTGTCAACTCAACGCGATAGATATGGTTCTGTTTGGGTACGTAGCTCGAGCATTGGCAACGCATCGTCAACACGAAATCTGCTGTCATGCGAGGTGTGCACATACTAACCAGTTGGGCGTGTTGCTTAACCAATAGATCATAAAACTCAATGCCTTGGTGAAAGCCTGAAAGGGTCAAATTACCTAGATGAACCAGAACTTCAAAATATTTTGTTGGGTTGACAGAAAACTGTTTTCGGAGCAAAACATAACTGTCTTGGTTCGTTTTATTCATTAACTGACCCATGATTGATATCGTATGGTTATCATGTTATTAAGGCATCTTATTTTTGCTGACATATGAGGACCGCTTTCACATGGGAGCTCCCAGGGGCGTGTGCCACGCTTCCCCATTATCAACTTGCCCTTCCTCCACCCTTGCCGCATTTTGTATGCAATAATATAAGCGCGCATCAATGATCACAGTAAACATTCGACTCTGACGCGAAAAAAACAGTGGAACGAGTTAACATAACGCTGTTTTACACATTGCAATAAATTCCGTGCGTACGTGATGAAATAAAGCCACTTTTATGAACAAGCATAGACTTTCCTCTCTCCTCCAATATCGAAATCCTTCACATAGTTATATGGAGTGAAATACGTGAGCATTACAAGGTCATGACTGACCATGTTGCTACGTCACGGCAGCGCAAACATCATCCCGGTGTTGCGGACCGATTGTGGTGCCACTATCTTGAACTCTTGGTGAACAGTTGCTTGATGAAATTAAGTCAGATCTCTTGCGCCTGATTTTTCGGCATTATGTATTATGCTTATTTTTAATAAGTATTTATTTAGCTTTATTTTAACATTATCATATCGTCTAGCAGTATCTCCTGGTATTTTGATGATTGCTTGCTCAACATCAGAACTTTGAGCTGATAACACAATTATTCACCCAGTTCCGAACAGAAGCTCAGTCGGCAGCGAGTGGGCTCCTTGTCTGGTTATCTGGCTCCTTGTCCGCTCCATGTTCAACGTCGGATTGGGTGCAGGCGTCTTAAGTTATGGATTCCAATTACCAGATGAAAGCGGTGCTACAAATGTCCGCCTACATGAAGCCAAAAATGATTTGTGAGGTTCAAAGCCAAACAAGAAGACAAAGTAGGCTGATAGCTATAGACCACATGCGTCTCGCAATATTTTAAGCAGGAAGCACTCTGGTCTCCTGAAGCTTTTGGCCGTGTGCATAGTCCTCTCATGCGGTCTGCCTAGTTACAAGTATTCTGCCTGCATAGCCAGCGACATCGCACCCACTTCCCCGGCTCGGCGCCTGTTGCCAAAGGATGATGGCGGGCCATAAGCGTAGGAACGTGGTCAGGAGTGGTCAGGTCAGGGTACACTTAAGAAACTTTTTCTGGGAAGCAAACCGAGTGCCGGGAGGGGGGGGGGAGGAAGAGATGGGAGGTATTGCCTGCTCTTTATTCACATGACAGATTTGGGAAATAATCATTTGAGCCCTACTCCCGTCCGCCGTCGGCGGCCACTGCCCAGACCCGGCTGTCCCACGCATGACTGAGTGTGCACTGATCGTATGGCTGCTTTGCTACACATTTATGGACCAGCATTGCTACTGATTGGCGTGTGAAATATAAACTGAACACCTACTGCAGCACGTCTCCCAACTATCTTCCCTTACACCATACCACGGCAGAAAACATATTTCGGTAAATTGCATGCCTTAGACACAAGATGGTTCAACCGACATTCAATTGCCTCTCATTCAACAGAGCTGATTTGATCTGTTTTTGTTGGTAAGATGGGGCGTGGCCAGAGCCTTGCTTAGGGGGCACAGAGTTTATAAAAGCCCCCTGATGGTGACCCCAAAAATAATCGCCGGATGTAGCTTTCTCGTGAAGAATGGGCACGGTTTTTAATTTTATTGTTGTTTCTACCATGTAACCAGAGCAGAAAGAGAAACGAGAAACTGCCGCGAGGCCAGTTCTGTTTGCATCTTTAAGTGAAGGAACTGTGGAATCAGGCGTTAAGCGATCCCATGGAATAAATCATCGGTGCTCTCAAAGCATTGAACCACTGGCGTGCCAGGTGGGCTGCGTGAGTGTCGCACGACAGGCTGGTGCCACCATATGTTGCCCAGAGTTTACACCAAGCGGTTCGGACTACAGACGAAACTTTTTCCGATATGTTGGCCCCCAGCCCGGTTCCCTTGGCCAGAAAGGCACCCAGCCCGCAAAACCCGCCATGCCCTACATTGCTGGCCGGTATTAACCCACAAGCATTAAGATAATTGCAGTACACATCTTGTCATTTCTCTTTAATTTAATACCTATGCAGCGTGAGCATAAAATGACATCTGAGTTTCAAATGATACACAATATTGTTTTGCTAGCATCAGTGGTGCTGCTTGGACGGAAGTGATCAAAATGCATGGAACATGTAATTTCTACTGTACCAAAGTATTATTTCAGCCGCATGATGCTGCGTACCAACTGCAGATTACACGGAAGAGGGTGAAATTTAGAATGGCCAATCACCAGAATGTACGAGAAATTTCATCCTTTATACCTCATCTCAGTAAACGGCAGACCCATTTCTTCCAAAATTGCAAGCATCAACTGATGGCTTGCTCCTAACAGAGTAAGACAATACTGAATGTTTCCGGTCACTCCTAGTTTATAGCACTGTGCATGGGCACGAACACCATTCGAGTACGTCTCAATTGCCGTAATGTTATGTTTATATGTAATGTTAACCCGCATTTAAGGACCAAACGCGGGCTCGTGTATGGTGTTTGCTGTCATTAAGTGTGTACATCAAGCAACAACACGGAATAAATGTCCTAGGTAGCTTTGGAGTGACTGACATTTTCCTGTTGGCGAGTGTAGAGCATTCTTCTACACTTAATAGCGATCCACTTAATACGAGTCAGCTAATTTCATCACATCTGATGCTTGCCACAATACCATCAAATGTGGAACATTCCCTTCAATGAAGCCTTTGCCGCACACTCCCCCCCCCACCCCCCAACATAAACGTTGTTCCTGCTCCTCTGACGCAAGGCAAGAGCTACCATCAGGTAGGAGTGCGAGAGAGGCTCACGATGATTGCTTATTGTTTGACTGCATGCCCGTGCCGGCGGCGATCTAAGCTCTAGGACGATGTCCGTGTTTAAAGAGAAGGCTTCATGCATAGACAGCAGGTAACTATGGCTCAACGAGCACCCGACGGAAGAATGAACTGTTAACATGCGTTCAAGAAAAACCCTTCAGCAACGAGACCAGGCAAAGAATGAGGCAACGTTTAGCAGCGTACTCGCTCGGATATGGCGGGAACGCCGACAGGCAAAATATATATCAAGCTCTACAAGCAGTCGCATGAAGCGACTAACGAAGAGACGGATGCTCACTTCCATGCCTAGTGTGAAGTCCAGCTGCGCATCCGCACATGACCGGCCATGATAAGCAGCGCGTACGAAGGATTTCACTACGGAGGGAGGAAAAACTCAAAATCTGGAACTGTGACCCTCCAGCACTCATTCACGCACATGTTCAGGCACGTCATAGCCTTGATAGAGAGGGGCGCTTGCCCAGGGTGCCGCCATATGCTGGCGCCTCTGATAGGAAGCTCCCAAAGTGTGCATCAGCCGGCAGCCGATTCCATACTTTGAGCAAAAGGTCACCATGCCATAGAAGCTTCAGAGCTTACGAGGACAGCCTATCCCAGTCTGGTGCTGTAGAAGAGCCAGATCTGCGATGCGACGCTCTCGAGTAAGAGAACAGCGACCGAGCAGAGCATGCCCGCGCCCGCTATGGTGAACAAGTGCTGCAGTGTCTCCAGGTCCAGCCGCGTCTTCTCCACCGACACCGTATCCGTGGGACAGAGTCGCTCAGCCGGGTGTATCGGGCGCCACTTCCGCAGCTCGCGGCTCATGATGCCCCTGTCGAGCAGCTGGGGCATGACGTAGTTGATCAGCCGCAGGTAGGGGAAGTTAGGCCGAAACACCAGCGAGACGGGGTGTCGGAACACCATCCCCGGCCAAATGCAGGCGGGACACTCGCTGGCCTGCCCGCGCTCCGAGCAGTTAAAGTAGTGGCCCACCCTTCCACTGGTATACGGTCGCAGGTTCTTGCCCTGCAGCGAGCGGTCGCGAGTCGTGGGCAGGTGGCGTAGGTCCTGGCCGGCCAGCAAAGGTTGTACTATCATCTCACGCGCCGCCAGGCTGACGCCCTCGACGTTAAGCTTCCAGCCCCTCGCGAACGCCTCATCCAAACTGGCGAACGGCATCTGGCGGCGAGTGATGGCCATTTGAGCGAGCAGCGTCCCCGAGTAGCAGGCGAAGATGAAGAAAGACAGCAGGTACACGGCACTGACAGCCAGCCGGTAAGAGAGCGCACCGTCCGCGCGCACTACGGCGCCCTGCTGGCAGCAGATGCCCAGCACGATCAGCGCCCAGAACGAGGCATCCTCCTCGGGCGACGATTCGGCCTCCCGGGCCCAGCGCGTCTCGCGCAAGCGCACTCGACAGCGGGCGATCAAGCAGAGCACGAGCACGGCGGCGGCCAGCACGGCCAGCAGGGCATACCAAGCACGGCCTTGCAGAGGCTGCGTGGCGCGGAACTCGCTCAGCGTCTGCGTGTGACGCACGCCAATCACGACGCCGGAGAGGTCCGTCGCGAACGGATAGGAGAAGTCGACCAGCCGGCCGCGCGCCGGGCTGTAAATCAGCGTGCCGGCCATCATGTCCGCCTGGCCGGCGTGCAGTTCGTCAACCAGCCTGTCCCAGACGGACCGGTTGCCGGTCCGGGACAGCCCGCGCAGGGAGTAGCTAAAGCCCAGCATGTTCTGCAGGAGCAGGATGATGGAGCCGATCAGGCCGCCGGTGACCGTGCCGTTGCGGTGCGTGATGAACAGGCGGTGTAAAGTCGACCGGCCCTGGCGTCGGTCCTCCGCGTCCTTCGATTCGACGTACACCAGACGGAGGTGGACGCCGCTCATGGCGCGCAGGCTGGTGGTGACGCCACCCAACGGCCGCAGGGGGACATATTGCGGCCCGCGACAAACGCCACGCGCCCCTCGTCGCCGGTGGAAGTCGCGCCCGCTGTAGAAGCGAGCCGCGCCGCTCTGCCAGACCATGTAGCTGTGCCTGGAGGCGTAGCCGCCGAGGAAGTGTGCGCGTCGTCGGCCGCTGAGCGAGACCAGCAGCCAGCGGCGGGCGTCCTCGCTGCGGACGCGGCCGAGCAGGCTGGCCGTAACGGCCGAGTCGTCGTCCGGCAGCAGCCACACCAGCCGCGAAACACGGCCTGCGCCGCCGCCGCCGCCCGACTCCAGCAGCGCTGCCGGGCTGGAGCGGTGCAGCCGAGCGAAGATGAGCCGAGAGGAGAGCAGCAGCAGCAGCCCGGCCGCTTCGGCACCTGGGGCGCAGCGCCAGGTTAGGTCTATTCGGCGCTTGGGACACGTCACCGTAGTATCTCTCCTGAACATCTGAGGCACGAAACCAGGTTATTCGTCTTCGACATTTAAGACACGTAACCAGGTTATTCATCTTCGACATTGAAGACACGTGACCAGGTTGTTCGTCTTCGACATTTAAGACACGTAACCGGGTTATTCGTCTTTGACATTTAAGATACGTGACCAGGTTGTTCGTCTTCGACATTAAAGACATGTGACCATGTTAGACGCTCCTCGGTATCTGGATTACAACCTTACGACATAAATATAGTGATGAGTAAGTAACTAAAACACGTTACACATTAACGGCTGCCCTTCCTCCATAAGAATGGGCATCGATGTTTACGTATTCTATCTGGGCTTGTTCCTTGTCAAATCAGATAATGCGTATGTCGTTCTAAATGGCGCTTATTCGTGATCATTATATATTGCTATTTCCCGGGCCATTCTCTCTGTCTGTGTCTTAAGTATTCGTTAGCATTGGCGACCGTAGTTTGCTAGATTCGGGCGAGAACGTAGACTAATTAAGTCTTACCAAATTTCATAGTAACACTTGTAGTTGATATGAGCAAGACATGCCTCAGTTACTGTTTTTTAGCACTCTGAGTTCAGACGCCTTATGCTGAGTCGTCGACTTGCGGTAGATCAGGAAGCGCTGGTGAAACCACATTATAGATAAAACATTTGTTACATTGACAACATTGAGCCTTTCAAGTTGTGCACCGTTTAAAAAAGTCGAGTACTGCCAACACAACCAATATTTACTATATAACATCGCTTAAGAAGTACCTACTGGTATTTTGAAGGCAGAAAACTTAACATAGGACCTCTGAACCCGTACTGGGAGCTTGAACTTGAGTGACCAGTCCGACAAGGCTTATGAAAGCAAAAAGCAGCAGTTGCAAACATATCAACCCCTCATAAAAGTTGATATGTTTGCAACGTCTCAGCGCAGGCTCAACCAGTTTTCGGTAGGAAGAAGTGCAATGGCTTAAAAGTCATGCTATGAAAGCTATTTGATCAGATGGGTCTTTCTTACAACATTACAACATTGCTGCACCTTCACCTTCCCCTCAACGCAGGTAAAAACCAAGCTTATATTTCATCGATCCTCCTTCCCAGAAACAACAGACCAGCGGACTGTCAGAGGAAAACACGGACGATCGTAGAGGCAACCATGTGGTTCCATGTGCACAGAAAGTCACGCACTCTCCAGAGCAGGCCATGAATCGGCCAGTTTTGTGGTTCTGTTTAGGACTGTTATCACATTTTGATCACTAGGATGAAGGCAAGGCACAATATGCACGGTGGGAGCAAATGTACTTGATGCAGCTCACTGATGCATCTCAAACCCTTTCTCCCCTGCGTGTCAATGCGTCAGGAATGAACCAGGAAGTGATTATCGCAACTTTTTGAGACTGACTTCGAGTGTAGAATGGCCTAAGTCGGAAAAGATTGAGCCGTGACAACTGCCAGGAGCGTGCAGTCGTATTAATTGCGACAAAGTCCTACCAAAAATTGTTATGCTTATCGCAATACCTGGATCATAACTGCGCACAATTGTTGATGACCGTAAATCTATCAATTTCGTCTATTACAACTGCTAGGTGATCAGAGCCATGGCGGACAATCCCAAAGAACAGTTGCTGTTTCTTTTTATAAATGTGCGTGCAAATACCACGTCAGTGCGCTGTCAACCGTAACACTTATAAAAATCGGACATTCCAACCCATGTATCAATCCCAGGGTGCACATACCGGCTACCATAAATATATGATTTCTTTAGCTCAATCCCTGACGTTATCTACATTTTGACTGGTGATAACTACATGTCTGTTATAAGTTCGTTCGCACCACGCCTTTCAAGGCGTCGAACGGTTTCCATGCTAAAGAATAAGATCGTCTGCCTAGAAAGTGTCCCAAATGATTGTCTAAGGGTGCTCCAAACTCCTAACAGCAAAGTGTTGCAATGTCCCACACACATTGGGAGCAGTTCCATTTCCCTAAGTGAGACAGATTCAAACCTCACTCGTCTGTGTAGAGGTGCGTGTTGTTTTAACACGCATCACACCGTAGCTTACCTGTGAAAGGGATATCTACGAAGATATCTGCACTGATCACTCCTTTGTTGTGCAGGTAGTCGATCATGCAGCGGAGCTGGCCCACCTCGACCTCAACAGTGTGTAGACCTTCCACGTAAGTGACTACCTGGAGAAGTGCCCCCAGTACTGCAAGGCTGAGATAAATATGCATTGCTCCGTCGCTTAGGGCCGCTGTCGACCTTTGTAGATTCCTCCGAGTCAAATGTCTCCCACAGTCCCCCCGCTCTCAGCGACTTCCACAGAATCGAGCGACGCACGCAGTGACCTCCACAGAACCGAGCGTCACACACAGTGACCTCCACAGAACCGACCGTCGCACGCAGTGACCTCCACAGAACCGACCGTCGCACGCAGTGACCTCCACGCAGCTGGCTGGGTCCTAAGCCCCAGCCTTGGGGCCAAGCGATTTCTCGTTTCCGCTTGCACTTGCACACAGCGAAAATGCTGCCGGGTGGAACAAAGTCAATGCGAAGTGGTTCCCGTCTGTATGCCATGAGGGGTCTATTGTTAACTCAGTGCGCAGCGTAATTTGTAGCCGCTACGGGCTCCACGGTGACGTTAGAGAAATCCATTAACACACAATGCACGATCTTCGATCGGGATAAAAGCCCGGCGACTGAGTCCGGCTGCAGATGTGTGTGGATCAACCAAGCAATGGAGCGGATGTTTGGGCGGGGCCGTGCTGATCTATGAACCGTTCGAACAGCACAAATATTCGGCACCCCTCCGAGCGGCCATGCATTTGACCGACGCATTCGATCTCAGGGGGTTAAGATATCACCGTGAAGTCGAGTCTTGGCATGTTTCGATATGTTAGGGTGACGCGTTGCATGCCAGTGTCCTAGAATTGCCGACTTTAGGTGTGAAGCAGCACCCTATGAGGAGGAATTTTCACTCCTTTTTCCCATATTTTATTTGAATTTTTCATTCCTGCCTGATATTGTCTAACCACGCATACCAAAACCATATTTCCCTTTCCAAGGTTTTAAGATGCCGTCCAAAACCGAGCTCACTCGGAACCATCAAGCATCATCAAGGCTCCACAGAACCTGGACACCTATGGCTTTATCCTGCGTCTCTTACATCTGATCATGTCTATGTATGCAGAGAAAGAACACCAGGTACCTCCAAGCCCGAGAGCCCCGGCTACTCCAGCCACTTGCGTGTATCAAGCTTGTTTTGTTTACAAAATGTATCACAATAGGTAGCTTTGTGGGATATGCAAGGCTTTCACACATCCCCAATGATTTTTGGTTGCATGACGCAAGCGTCATACCAATAAAGCAAAGCCTGGTACAAACGCCAGCAAAGCCCGGTAGATATTTGTATTCCACGTATTTCTTTTACTCGAAGAGACTTGACACTAAACTGCATTACTCCCGAAATGCAAGAGTGAAAAATTCAGGAACTTTCTTCTAAATAAAATCTTAAATCTGAACACCACTGTTTGAGCACTCATTTCTACATAATTTTAGTCAAATAAGCTGATTACAACATTTTACAAAAAACTATCAGTATTTATATTTATTCAATTGCTTTTGTTTTCTTGTTATCATACGAGTGTGATACCACTTCGTTTTCACTTCCTTTCTGATGGCCTTTAAAAATATCATCTGTGGCTTAAAATGTTGACCAATTTTTTTGCAAAATGTTCCAACTGCAAACTTGCACATATTTCATACACAAATTGGATTAATTCGCCAGGCGCCCAAAACATGTTCGCTACACCCCCAAGAGTAAACAATTCATAGGGAATGAAAGAGATAATTTGGAGCACAGAATTTGTTCTTAACATTTTTTGCCCTGTTAAGCGCCTAGTTAGCCGTTTTTGGTTCATGGCGGGGCTCAGTAAGGATAAATCTATGCCATTCTAGGTTCGATTCCTCATCACGGTACATTATCCTAGCGCACATGGATTTGGGACAGACCTGGCGCAGCTAATACAGATGCGTTTGGTAGCGGAATTATGTTATCATGGAGACTTTATTCTAGTAGCCTTGATGCAGACATCATCTTACTTATTTCGCATCTTAATCTTGTAGGTTGGTGGGCATGATTGACATTTATATTTTAGGGTTGGGTTGGATGACCCTGTCTGTCAGCAACTTATGCGAAAGGTGCAAACTTTTTGTGTGGGGAGCGGAACAAAGCGTGCACTTAAAATACGAGTAAGTTTCTTCTGTGCAGCCATTAATTGCTAATTTTGCCTGCTTTCAACACAAATTATAACCAGATTAAGTCATTTTCCGTTCATATCTGTAAAGTTTTGTTCATAAGACAAATTATTATGCCACAAGAAATGTAATTAAACGATTTTGTTTCATACTCTTGATCAGTTGTCTAAAATTTGTTCAATTGGTCTCTCATGTCTACTTTAACCAGATGATGTCCATAGTTACCATGGTTTGCTTACTGGCAAATAACCATGCTGGAGATATCCACGCTATCTTTTAACGGAGGAATACCCTAACCTATATGAGAATTACAACATAAGCAAGATACCAGTTTTTGGCGAATGGTCAAACCATCCCATTGTAAATGTGAAGGAGACATCTCAAACATAAAGTCATTAAATATGAA